GTAAGAGGATAACGTTTACTAAAAGCAGTATTTTTAAATGTCCAATAAATTAAAGTACAGAATATCACTAGAAATAATGTAGAAATATATTTCATGACACAGAAGGATGATCAGATCATCTTTTTGAAAATCTGTATTTTTACTATGATGCATTATTTCATTTTAAAATTTAAAACTAATTTCAAAAGAGATTCTGAATGCATAAAAACAAAGAAAACCTGGCTCAGAATCAAAGTATTAAGGAAAAAAAGAATGTTACAGATAATAATGTATTTTAGAAAAATGAAAGTTTTACTCCTTGCTCTTGTTTAATTTGTACTAATAAAAGTGTGTGTATTCTGCTTGGCTTCAGTGACTTTACTATAATTACAAATAATGCTATTTAAATGTGATATTCAAATTAAATTAATAAAAAGAAATTCAGGCTAAAAAATGTGGGATATGAGCTATTTTAGGCGAAAGCTCTCAGTACTTCATTAGGATAAAAATTAAGTTATTAAACAAAAAACCCAATTTGTTAACTGCTGTTACTGGCCATGAACACTAGCCATACTAGTATACATCTAGTCACATATGCCATTCACATTATCATACCTGTCTCTAGGGTTCTAATATTGTCAAATGAAGGCACAAACACTAATGTGTAGGGTAGATAGATGCCTGATATTGTGTTTCCACAAATCCATACTGCCCCCTTCTGGGTGGTTTTGGAGATTATGTGACAAATGTTTTGTAAAATGAAATAATGAAAACTAATCACTTTTAGCTTAATACATTACATAATTTACATGCTCACATGCAGAAATGCAACACTGGCACTAAATAATTTATTTGGAAACATTTCCAAGCATTCTGTTCTGAATAGTTCTAACAGAAAAACAGCTCTGACAATTTAATCACTAAGATAAAAAAGGGAAGTATTACATATTTACTAAAAATAAATACAACATGACATTTGAAGAAGTAACAAGGATTTTTTTCCCCTCTTTCATCATGCTTATTCGTTCTTCTCACTCCTCAAAGCAAACCAGGATCTAAATTTGAGTCTTATTTTTCTGGTTCAATTTTAATTCTTGTACTACTGCCACAGGAATCAGCTATGTAGTCCAGGCTAGCCTCAAATTCACAGTCATCCTCCTGCCTGAGTGCTGAAGTTACAAGCATGTGCCAACACGCCAACCAGCTTTGTGCATTTTTTACATGTAAGTAAATAGTTTTATATTGCATTACACATATAAAAGTTCCATGTCATAGGCTATATTTCTGTTTCGTGGGGCGGAGGGGAACTAGGGATCAAACTCAGGACATTGCAATTGCAAGGCAGGTGCGATGCCACTGAACTAAATCCCCAGCCCTACACTTCTAAGTCCAGCCACGCACTCCAAGCTGAAAATCAACTGAGGAAATGTAGATGGCTCCATGCGAAGTTATCACTATCATGCTTTAAATAACAAATATTCTACTGGGTGACCCTTGTTATTTTTTCATTTCTGACTTTTCATTCCTGTCCATCCTCCTGTTTTGGTTAAGGGAAAAGGGTCTTGATATTTTAAAGTTATTGTCCTCTCATGTTTCTTCAAACTTCTAGTTTTAGTAACATATATTGTCTTAGAGAATACAGATTCCATCAAAATGTATAGTGAATGGAGAACAATAAGCAGCAGAGGAAGTTAAAACTACGCTGGCATGGAGTTGGGAAGGAAGGTGTCAGATCATTTTCGTGGGTCCCATGAAACTGTAATGACAGAGACAGGGAAAGTTCTGTGCTGCAGCTCTGAGGCCTTATAAGAGCTCCCTTCTCATCTACCATCTCCTCAGATTTCCCAGACAATTGTGCACTTTTGTGGCCTCTCCCCTCTTTTAGAGCTCAGATTTTAATTTCCCCCACACATACCTAAGACAGCTACTCAAATTTGGAAAGCATACTATCCAACCACTTGGTGTTGCTCAAATTTCTTAGATGTCAGAATGATAATACAATTAAGTTAAAAGAATCACAGAGGTAAAGAACAAGAGAGACAGGGAAACTTGCTTTTCACTTCTATTAATACCTTTTGCATTTTAAAAGTATTTTAACATACTAATAACCCAAAAGCAGATTAAATTTAAGAAACTAAATAAAATTTTAGCAAGCACATTTTTTAAAAAGAACATTTGAAGTGGTAATCTAGATTAGTAATAAAAAGATTGTGCCTCAAATTGAATCCAATTAAAACTGCATAACAAGTATTGCATCTAAGAAGCAATATGGAAGGCTAAAACCACTCATTTAAAAACAATAAACAATAAATAAATAAATAAAAACAATAAACCACTTGCAATTGCAAAGAAAAACAGAAACTGTATTTTATATTTATACTATATAATTTATATGCTATTAAGCAAATAGTTTAATTTCAAACAACTATTTTCATTTCAATTGTCTTTTACATTTATCAGAAAATGCAACCATCAAAAAAGGGAAAAAATACATAGAAGACCCTAAAAACTCCACCAAAAGACTTCTAGATTTAATAACCAAATTCAGTAGCACAGCTGGATACAAAGTCAACACTCAAAAATCAACAACATTCCTGTACACAAATAACAAACTCACTGAGAGAGAAATTAGGGAAACAACACCTTTTATAATAGGATCCAAAAAAATGAAATATCTAGGAATCGATCTAATGAAGGAAGTAAAAGATCTTTTACAATGAAAACTACAGTACTCTGGAAATGGAGATCAAAGAGGATATCACAAAATAGAAAGATACACCTTGTTCTTGGGTAGAATCATATAATGAAAATGGCCAGACTTCCAAAGTTGTTATACACATCCACATCAAAATAGCAATAACATATCTCACAGAATTAGAGAAAACAATCCTAAAATTTATTTGTAACCAGAGCAGACCTAAAATAGCAAAAGCAATTCTGGGTAACAAAGGCAAGACAGGGTACATCACAGTCCATGACTTGAAATTATACTGCAAAGCTATTGGGATAAAAACAGCATGGTACTGACAAAAAATAGACCCAAGGATTAATGGAACAGATTGGAATATATAGAAATAACTCCAAATCCATTCAGCCACCTCAACTTTGACAAAGGAACCAAACACCTTCACTGGAAGAAAGACAGTCTGTTTAATAAATGGTGCTGGAAAAACTGGCTTTCCACATCCCCAAGATGTGGAAACCATGCATTAAACTAAAATCAAAATGGATCAAATGTTTAAGTATTAAAATAGAAACACTGAATCTTCTGGAAGATAGAATAGGTAGAAATCTTGAAGACATTGGTGCAGGCAAAGACTTCATGAACAATATCCATATCACATAGGAAACATCACATAAAATCACAACTGGGATCTCATCTTACTAAAAAGCTTTCACAAGGCAAAAGAAACTGAATGTAGAAACAACCTACAGTGTGGGGAAAAAAAAATTCTGCCAGCTATTCCTCAGACAAAGGACTCGCTAGAATACAGAAAGAACAACAATGATAAAAAAACAGACCCCCAAATTTAAAGATCCAATCTAAAAATGGGCATAGATATAAAATGTATAATAGATATTCAGAAATGGGAAGAAAATGTTCAAATGAGAAGGGAACAAGGGAGGGGGTAGGGGAAAAGGAAAGAAAGGACATGAAAAGAGAGAAAATAGAAGGAAAAAATGGAAACATAGCTTTTGTAAGTAAGGAAAAGAAGGGTGGGGAGAGAAGGGGAATGAGAAAAAGGAAGATATATCTTGTACAGTACAAATTCCTTATGATATTATTATTACATATACCCGAAATGTATGAATAAATATTTGCTTCAAAAATTAAATAAATATGAAAATGGAGAAATGGTTCATTAAAAATAAATAATGGTTCATTAAAATAAATATTGAACCACTGAGTCTGACACTAAATTAATGCTGATAGAAGTAATATGAAAGGATTTGGGATTTTTAACATGCTATAAATAGTTCAAAAATGAAGAGAAAGGTGCTTAAGGAAACCCCTACAGTACAGGAAAAGTACATCATAACTGTCTCGGGACATGGAGGTGGAGTTAGAAGAGGGAAAAGTCTCTCGAGTTCATTACCACCTGAGGCATCTAGTCTACCATCTAGTTGATAGGAATTTATTTTTTCTTCATTGATTACTTGAGCTAGGAACTATTTTATTTAGTTCATTTTCTTAACAATTTTATATATTTTAGGACACGGTGTGACTATAAAATATGAAAGAAGAAATCATCTACATTGTACATTCTAAACCATGGTCTAAGGAATTTTAAAACAAATCTGTTTTAGAACATCTTTTCTTTTGACCTTGTCAAAATAATTATTTACTTAAATGAACTTTACTGACAAGTATTGACAAGGATTTTGCCTCTACCAAAGCACATGCTCATTTTCTGCTGAGGTAGCAAAAAAAATGTAGAATGTCTTTGGGAATATTTAAATTATTTTAAACAACAACAACAAAAAAAATTTCATTAAATATATATACTTCAACTGCTATTATTTTGTTGTTATGGTTTTGTTTTGGGTTTTTTTTTTTTGGTACTGGGGATTGAACTCAGGACCTTGCGCTTACAAGGCAAGTGGTGGAACAACTGAGCTAAATCCCTGGCCCTTCAACTGCTATTTATTATGTTTCAAGGACACACTATACCATTTAGAAATGAATTAACAGGAAAAAAAAAAAACATTATATCCATCTTCTATTTCTATGTCCTTAATAACATTGTCTAACAATTATGCTATTATTATTATTATTATTATTATTATTAATTATTTTGTACCAGGGATCGAACTCAGGTCCTTGTACTTACTTGTGAGGCAGGTGACAGTACCAATGAGCTAAATCCCCGGCTATGCCACCATTATTTTAAAATTAAAATTGAAAGTTTACTTAATTCTCTTTTTATATTTTAAGTTACTTTCCATTGCTTTTATATGCCTAAGAGCAACATAATCTAGCTTTACCATAATGAAATAATCTTTTATATAAATCGACTTACACTACAGTTTTCAGGTGGAACTAGAAGTTGAGTAATCTCACCACCATGAACACAGAAGATATGTTTCATTTCTCCAGAAAATATGTCCCAAATTATGACCGAAAAGTCCACACCTCCAGATATCAGATATCTCTGGTCATAGCGAGCTGAGACCTGATGAGGATATAGCAAACATGTGACTTTGTTCCGATGACCACGAAGTGTTCTGTGAGGTGGCCAACCTGTGAATGAGGTTTTAGATTTAAAATGGGAAAGATAAAGTCTTAAAAAGTTTCAACAAGTAAACATAAACATGAAATATCAAAAGAGCTATATATTTTATCACAGATAAAACTTCCAATTTTATCTTCTAAAACTGTGTGCCCTATACAGTAGCAACTATTTACTATGGAGACTACGGAGCCCTTGAAATGGAGATTCGTATATGCTGCAAATGTCAAATAGTTATGAAATTTTAAAGAATTAGTACAAAAAAGTAATGTACAATATTGCACTAATAATTTTCATATTGATTACAAGTCAAAATGATAATTGAGAACATTGGGTTATATAAAATATAGTACTATAGTTAATTTAATTGTTTTACTTTTGAATATGGCTATTAGAAAATTACATATATGGATTACATTATATTTCTACCAGACAGCACTGTTATACAAGATTATCAGTGTTACTGATAATAAACCTAGTAATCATAGAAATAACTAATAAATCAATAAACTGTATGTCTCTGTAAGGTATGTCATGACAGGTATTTATCTAAATAACAGGCACTTAATATTTTATTTGTACATTAAACTCTATCAACTACATAGCCAACTAACAATTACACTGATTTTGCTTGCTAAAGACAAACAGTAGGGGTCCCAGAGTTCTCAAAACACTTCATATGGGCAGATGTTTGGTGTACCTCTTCTGAGCATGTGTTCCCCTTGCAACAGCTGAACTATGGCTGTCTGTGTGGCAGGTACAATAATTATGCTTCCATCTTCACGGCCACAAACGAGTCGTCCATGTGCTGGTATGTACACACTTGCAGTTACTTTTAGAGGATCATTACTATTGGGAATCACACTCAGCTGATCTATAATTCCAGCAGGACAAGGATTCAGTTTATCAAATGCCTCTTGCAAACTAATGGAAGTTGTCATTTTCAGCCCTGTAGAGATTTCATTTTGTTTAAAAGAAAAACATTTATACATGTTAAAAATTCAAAACAGTATAATAATGTTGATTAATTCAGTAATACATAAAAAAATCACTTTTATCAGACATAATGCTTAGAAGAAAATTATAAATAAACATTATGAATTTGTTATTCAATGACTAACATTTAAGATGCTAAAATTAATCGATTGTTGCACATGATTTACTATTACCTTCTTCACCTTCCTGTTTATCAGCTATATCTGATATGTTCCAAATATTTAATCTTCCAGAAGAATCACCCTGAATTAATAGTTTATGGAAATATTCCTTGCATCCATAGAAGAACCGAGTCATGGGAGGACAAATTAGCAACTGCCAAAAAAAAATTTCAAATATCTTTATATATATATCCTTAAAATATTTCACACATTAACATTTTTTTAAATACAGATGTTAGGTACTTTGCCTCAGCACCGAATTTTTAAAAGTATGAGTAGTGTGATTCTTCCACACTATTTTAATATAACTGTGTAGTATTAATATGCACATCAACTAATATTCAAACCTAGTATAACATTCAAAAAAATGAAAACTGTATTTATAGCCTTTCTTTAAAATTAGTATTTACACTTTTTCTCTGCTTTATAAAAAATGGTTACTAGCCATAGGACAACTTATTTAATTGCTTATTATTAAATAATTAGTACAGAAATATGCTACTTTTTAACCAAATAAAAATATCTCTACTTACAAAGTCACAAAAGAGTACTGGTTGGGGGAGAGGGATAAAGAAGAATCAAGATATATCATGCATTGATCCCTATGATCAATGTTATCATCATGTATATCTGAAATGCACCAATAAATATTTGGTCTGAAAGCTAAAGAGGAGCGCTCGCTCACTAATCCTAGCTTTTTCACTCACTGTTGATTAGTCACTAAGAACAAGCAAAATTAAACTGCCATGCTTACATAATAGGGGACTCCATTTTCTAATGAGTATATTTTCAACTAATAACATATTTACAAATATGCTATTTCATTTGGTCACATTTACAAAACTAGTCTGAACCTAGCCTGGTAAGACAGCTACAAACTATTAGGAAGAAAACCCATCATAAGTGCTTTATGTATATTTCCATTTTTAAAATAAATTTTTCAGCTTAAGATCTTCTACTTTTGGTGAGATCAGTTATTTACCAATCTTAAATAGTAGTAAACTCCTAAAATTAAATTTGAGAGTATTAATTCACAAATCTTAAAATATTAAAGTACAGAATCTAAGTCTGAAAAATAATAATAATAGCTTTTAGTTTCGTAAATTATAGAAAACAAATCATCTAGTTATTATACTTCATATTAGTTGTTTCATAGAAGGCACTAACCTCTAGAAACTAGATATATTAAGCAATTGCTTCATTTTGGCTTTTTTGGTGTGTTGAACCCAGATCCTTCACATTGACCTACGTCTTCAGGCCCCTCCCCTTTTATTTTATACTTGAGACAGATCTCATTAAGTCCCTAAGCTGTCTAGTTTGGCCTCAAAATTGCAATCTTCCTGCCTTAGCCTCCTAGAGTGCTGGTATTAGACATCCTCCACCATGACCAACTAAATACTGAAATTCTAATTGATATATACACTTAACAAGAAGTTGCCATAGCAGCTGTGATGATATGCCATAATTCAACAAAATAAGTATTTTATACCACATAATACATAATTTTAATTTAAAATGTATTAAGGAGCTCATATTTGAAGGAAAATGATATATGTTAGTTTTGTTTTGTTTTTGTAGGGTTCTGTGTTGTTGTTTAGGTGGCTGGTTTTTTTGAAGCAGGGTCTAACTATATAATTCAGGCTGGCCTCGAACTCCTTCTGCCTCAGCTGGGATTACAGACATGTACCACCATACCCTTCTGTAGGGTTTTTTATAGAAGCCAATGTCTCTTCACTTAACTGGAAGTGACTGTATAAGTTAGACAGCAGTAAGTAAAAGTTTAAGAATGTAAAAAACTGATAGGTTATAGAGGATCCTAACTACCTAAAGAGAGAAATTCTGTATATTCAAAACATTCATGGAAAAATTTCCTTCTCTTCACCGTCCTTCTCCATAAAGATGAGACATAATGTTCAAATGATAAAGCCAGGAAACCCAGGATACCGGCACAGAAATTAACTTCCAAAGCCAAAGCCTCTTTCTTACTGTTAAGAGAATATAGGGCCAGGGCTTTGGCTCAGTGGTTCTGCCACCTGCCTCAAAAACACAAGGGCCTGAGTTCCATAACCAGTACCCCCCAAAAAAAAGAATATAGAATTGAAAATCCAGTACTAAGTTCTGTTCCATTTCAACTTCAAAGAGATATCAGCAGGTTGCTTGAAAATAATAGATTTTTATTTTCATAGAGAAAAATTGTTTTTTCTTCATTTCTAATATGTAATTATTTAAATCATCATATGGCTTTGGGAATACTGCACTGACCTACTGAAATTATAAACAATAAAATCATTCTATGCTAATCTTTGCCCTCATGAAACTGACATGTTTTAATTTTATGGAGTGTAAAATAAACTTACAATGTCAATAGGAATCTTAACAATAGTCATTTCCAACATGTAACCAGCATAAGATCACTTGTACTGTTAAGGAAAAGTGAATGCTATTTTACAGGTGTATTGTGTATTTTAAAATAAGCAAAGTTTAAAATGTGCTTATAATTGACCACATCAAAATGTTCTATAATATCTAACACAGGGCCCTTGAACTGTATTGAATCTTTCAAGTGCTTAGCCACCAAAAGACACAAATAGACAGCTGTGAAAAACTTTCAATGTAACTATCAATTATAAATGATACCTAAAGAATTTTACCTCTTTATCTTTCCGATCCAAGAGGCTATATTGTACTGGAGGTATTAAATTTTCAACTGCTTTCCCCACATCACTACGGAAAGAATCGCTAGCTGGAAGGCAACTGAAAATAGAAAAATACAACAGTCACTTAAAATACTGACATCAAAAATTGTATCATTCCCTATGATAACAAGGCTTCTAGACAACGATTAAAGATATAATTTTTTTGTTTTTATTTAATTTTTGAGACAGGGTTTCAGCCTGTAGTTCAGGCTGGGATTTTTTAAAATAATGTTATAAAAATATTCTTCTTCAAATAGAAAAATCCACCAGATTTTTGGACTTAAAAGTTAAATTAGAATTATAAATCTAAGAAGTTTTAAGTTCTTTTTTTTTGTACCGGGGATCGAACTCGAGTCCTTGTGCTTGCGAGGCAGGCAGCAGAACCACTGAGCTAAATCCCTGGCCCAGAGAAGTTTTAAGTTCTTGAACAAAAATTAAATATGGACTCTATGTTTTCATATTTTGAAGTTGTACACCAAACTTGAATTTGTTTTTTCTTTTTTGGTTTTTTGAGACAAGGTCTCACTATGTAGTCCAGGCTGGCCTCAAGCTCACAGTGATCCTCCTGTCTCAAATGCTGTCACACCTAGTGAATGTTTTAATTAAAGTTCTAACTGCTTATTTACTGCGTACCTGGCAGGCAGTTTGTAAATGTAACTTTGTCCATTTTCAGTCCAGATGATTACTTTATCTGCTGATACAAAGTCACCTCCAGTCCAAGTCTGTCCATTTTCACTAGGACCAGAGCACAACAGGGAATAGTCTCCAGCATCGAACACCTATAAGGAGTAAGAAATTCACAATCCACTTGATGCTACTGTGATTTAAGTAAGATACAGTAGTGTACAGTGACATTTCAACTAAAAACAAAGAAACTTTCAGAAATACACTGAACAAAACTCAAGGCATTAAAGTTTGATGTCACAGACAAAGACATTTTGTCAGTGAACCTGGGGTACAGACACCTTCAGTAGGGATAAAAGAAGTGCGGCTCCAGCCATGTGCTGCCTCTCCATGATTAGGCAAGAAACCATAACAAGCGAAGCAGGTAAATTCTCCCACTCAGGAATGGAAATGTACGGCCTTTATGTATAGCAAAGAAGTACTACATAAAGAATGACAAACACACTCATGTTTATAGCAGCACAATTCTTAATAGCTAAATCTTGGAAGTAAAATGAAATTTTTAAATGTGGCATTCAGGGCTGGGGATTTAGCTCAGTGGTTCTGCTGCCTGCCTCACAAGCATAATGTCTAGAGTTCAACCCCTGGCACCAAAAAAAAAAAAAAAAAAAAAAAAGTGGCACTTATACATAATGGAGTACTACTCTGATATAAAAAAATAAAACTGAGTCATTTATAGGAAAATGACTGTACCACAAGACCATAATGTTAAATGAAATAAATCAGATGCACCAGCTTAAATATCATATTTCTCTTATATGAGAAATGCAAAATATAAAGAGCAAAATAAAAGCTAATAGGAATAGGGCCAGAGATTTAACTCAGTGGTATGGACACTTGTCTCTTAAGTGCAAGGTCCCAAGTTCGATCCCCACTACCAAAAATATAAATAAATACAATAAAAGTTAATAGGTATAGACACATCTTTTGCAAAAAGAAAGGGGACCAAGAAATGGAGAGAGGGGGAAGAGGGGAGAGAAAGGAGATTAAAAATAGAATTAAGATGTGGAGTATATATGTACCATTTTACCAGGAGGAATATGATTATTATGTACCATAAACAAATACTAATAAAAAATAAAAACTGGAAAGAAAGAAAAAAAGAATGGCGAGTAGAAGGGGATGATCTTCTAGAATACAGTTTTATAGCTCCTGTTTTATTTCAATTTCTGGTAACATTTCTAACCATAAACTCTGTATTAGCTTGTTTCCTTATTAAAAAGGAAATTGTCTTGCTTTCCCTTATTGCATCAATATTCTGCAGTATTACAAATAGGAAGTTAACAAACTTTGTTTTATTATTTATTTACTCTTACATACAAAGATGAAGTTACTGTGATCAACAGCACAGAGGGCACTGACTCTACATGGCCTTAAACTGGGAGGGCAGGTCCGAGTTTACAAAGTGCCTTTATTCATTCACTCATTCATTCATTCATTCATTCATTTAATTTTTGCACTGGAGATCAAATTTGGGATCTTGCCCTTGCGAGGCAGACGGCAGAACCACAGAGCTAAATCCTACAAATTCCCTTTAGAATCACAATCTCCATGAAAAGTTCAGGAAAAATTCAGAAAGGGAGATTTCCCCTCTAGCCCTATTATCTATTAAAACAAGTGATAAAGCTATGGAAGTAAAAAAAAATATTGCACTGTATTAATACACAAATGCATAAACAAATTGTCAGTCTAAAAACAGATTCCAGTAATACTGTCTACTAACAAGGCACAAAACAGATGAGTGAATTATTCAGCAAATAGCATCAGAAATGAGGGCATCTGACTGTAACAAAAATAAAACTGAGGGCCGGGGATTTAGCTCAGTGGTTCTGCCACCTGCCTCACATGTGCAAGGTCCTGAGTTCGATCCCTGGTACCAAAAAAAAAAAAAAAAATGAATTTACATCTCACAATTTATTAAAAATAAAACTCAGTTTAAAGAATCATCTGGGGTGGTGCTGCATGCCTGTAACTCCCAGCACTGAGGAAGCTGAGGCAGGGGGATCACCGCCAGCCTAGGCTACATAGTCAGTTCAAGGCCAACCTGTACTATATAGTAAGATGTCTCAAAAGTCAAAATAAAATAAATACCACACATAAGGTGAAATAATATAACTACTCGAGAAAAATGAAGGATTTTTCTTTAAATCTGTTCTGTGGTCAGGTGTCATGGCCCTCGCCTGTAATCCCAGCACTTGGGAGGCTGAGAGGACAGGAGGATCACTTAGAGTTCAAGGCCAGCCTGGGCTACGTAGCAGGCTGTTACACCCCCCACCCCAAAAAAAAAAAAAAAAAAAAAAAAAACTCAGTTTGGGGTAAGGACTTTTAAAATATGTCATAAGTTTTAGAAACTATAAAAGGTGGTATTTCATTACATTAAAAATTAAAACTTCTTTATTGTAATAAAAAAATCATTCCAGTGGGTTCTAGTACTATCCCAGTATTGGTTTTCATATGCATTTATCTGATGGTTTATAAAGCTGAACGCCTTTCTATATATTTACTGGCCATCTTGAGAGCTTGTTTGGAGTTTCTAGCAGAGGAATGGAGCTACTCCTATACCCTCGACCAAGGAAATGGTCCTTCTCTATCAGGGATAGTCTTCCTCTTCAGCCAAGAGCACAGCTTTGGGAGGGACTCACATGGAGCAGTGAGGGAGGAAGGGGACACCCACCTAGCCAGCCAGGTCAGCTGAATCAACCCTGGTGATCAACGGGGTAACAGATATCTCAGCCAGATCGCCCTCACATCCTTACTGGCCATCTGGATTCCCTCTTTTATGTTGTATTTTTATCCCATTTCCGACTGGGTTAATATGCAGGGGATTTTTTTAAATAAATACTGGACAAGTTATTATTACACTGTATCTTCTCTCATTACGTGGGTTGCCTTTTCACTTATATACACATTTTTTAGAAGACAAGACCATTATTATATAATTATAAAACACTCATAATGGACATACAAGAAACCAAACTAGATCTTGCCACTGGAGGGGGTTAGGAAGGGAAATAGCAGAGAGAAACAAGGTATCAGAGGCACAATTTCATGGTATTCTCTTGCACTATTTTTAATTACTAGGTACATGTGTTTTAAATCAAAAGGGATTATAAACGTAGGTCAGTGGTAGAATGTTTGCCTAGAATGTGTGAGGATTCCCAGACCATGACCATGAAAAAAATCAACTCAAAGGAAAGACCTTGTACAGCTCCCTCTGACCAAGTGGCTGCTACTTTTTCTCTCTAATCTTATTCTAAAACAGTAGCAGTGACTAATGTTAATGCTGTGCTATAGTCGGTCCCTTTACTCTTGGATCCATCCCCTTGTGTTCTAAGATAAGGAAACCCAACCACTCCATGTCTAACTGCAAGGCGGTCGAGTACAGATGTAATGAGCAGCTGCAGTAGTCAGACTGAGTTACAACTCAGCAACTTCACCACGGTTTGTATAACTTGAGGCAATTTATATATCCTCTAGGCCTCAGCTGTCTCATCTACAAAACGGGGAAGGTAACGATTCCTACTGTGTAAGCAGCCTCTGAGACAGTCCCACTGCTACCCAACTCCTGGATTCACACCCTCCTCCCTTGAATGTAAACTGGATTTTACTATTTCTAGAGAACAGAACATGGGACAAATGATGAGGTGTCAATTCCAAAGTTAGGCAACTCTTGCTGCTCACTCTGACGGAAGGCTGTGCCTATGCTGTGAACTACTCCTTGAAGAGGTCCACATGGTAGGGAACTAAAGTCTACAGCCAAGAGTCAGTGAGTGGGACCTGGGGCCTTCCCAGCACTGTGTGAGGGACCGTGGAAGCGGATCCTCCCAGAGCTGGGCTGGAGATGAGATCAGAATCCCAGTGGACATCTTGACTGCAGTCTGTGAGACTCTGAACCAGAAGTGCCAGGCTAAGCTAGGTCCACATTCCTGACCCATGAAAGTGGATGATAATACATGTTTGTTGTTTTAATATGCCAAATTTTGGAGTAATTTGTTATGTGGAATTAAATAACACAAGTATCTTCAGAGAGTTTCCAGGATTAAAGAAAATAATACATGGAAAGCTGTATGAAAAGAATTAGGCACAGAGCAAGGGGTCAAAACATGCTGGCCAGTGTGCTATTATAAAAAAGTAACAGTCTGTAAAAGTAAAATCTATAAAAATAGCAAAAGACTGGCACTGTAAAAGTAATATTATATGATTAGCTCTAAGGTACTAGAGACTCTACCAACTCTAAGAAGCAAGAAAGGAAAAAAAAAGGCAATTAGGTTTAACAGCACCCTACAGATAAATGTTCGACCTGCAGAAAAGTCACTACCATTGCTTACATTGTACTGATAATAACTAAAGCAGTAACAAAAAGCAGAAATTAATATCAATGAAATATAGCTGCTAACTGAATCATTCCAAAAAATTTAAAAGAAGACAACTAAATACAGCCAAGTCTCAACTCCTCATAAATATCAAAATCAGGCATTAATTCTAAAAGGTGAAAGTCTTGCACCAAGCACATGCTTAGGATTATCCTGGGAGTCTGAGAAACCAATATCTATAAACAGAGCTTCTTACTTATGTAGTCATCTTACCCTCCAATACTTGGAGCAAACAACCAAAAGTGACCTTTGCGTGAATGCACAAAAAGAGATGCTTTGACAGTTCTGGCAATAAATTGGTTTAGATTCCTCCTCAAATATTGGCTCAGTATCCTGAAAAGAAAAGGATTTGCAAAACTTCAGGAATAGATCGATTGCCCATTAAAATTATCACTGAATGATAAAGACACCAACATGAAGTAAAACCATCATTTGATATGTATATTTCTGCCCCTTAGGTAAAAGCCAAAGTAGTAAAAAGGAGCAAAAACATACCCTAAAAATAGGTATTTGCCGAAAAGCTGCCCAGGATTTGATCAGTATTATCACTTGGCAATGGTAGATGATAAAATTCTGCATAATCCTAATTTCTGTAGCTATATGTGCTTCAGTTTAAAAACAAACAAACAAAAAACATTTAAGCCAGGCTTGGTGACATACACCTATTATCAAGGCCAACCTGATCTACAGAGTTAAAGGCCGGCTTGAACTATATAGGAGTCTCTGCTTCAAAAATCCATTCAAAAATATTTTTTTAAAAAAACCTGATCAATTCTTCTAGTTTCCCTTAGATTCAATCCCTAAAATTTTCCTAGGTGAGCAGTAGCATCAATATTATCACAAAATTATTACTGATAAAAAAATAACAAAAGAATTCAGGTTCATAGAACTGAGATTAGAGGACTAACACTGGTTTTACGTACTTTTTGTTTTGCTGTATTATTTTTTCTTGAGAAAACTATCTTTGAATTTTTAAATTAAAAGCAGTTAAAGAAAACTCTACCTCTTTTATGTTTCTCTATTTCATATTTTGTGCAACATGTTTCCCTATTCCATAACCCCGATGAAGCAGTCTCCATCAAAAGTGGAAAAACGAGCTCACTCACACAGCATAAAAGGAAACTTTTTATGCTGTGTCCATAAGACTAATTAAAAAAGAACGGTCTTTCTTTCCCTTTTCATTACTAAAACTCCAGACTACATAGGATAAAAAAGGACAAATCACTCCATCTCATTTGTCTCACCTGCATGCCACTTATTTCCGAGGTAACGATCCACACCTTCAAAATGCCTGTGGCTGAAAGTGCTACCACTGTGTCCTCTAAACCAAGAAGGGACAGAAAGCCCAGTTAAAATACAGCATATGTTCTTTCTAAATACTAAGATAGTTCACTCTCACAAAATTAAACATTGGCAGGTTTTGCAATTAGAACAAATACACAATTTCTTATTTCACAAAATATAAGCCAGATTTTGAAACATATGTTAATAAAGATCACCAATAATTTGGTATTCAAGGAGTTATTTCAAGTAACTTGATTTTTAAAAAATTTTAACAAATTTTTGAGAATTTCAACTGCCCTTCATTACTATGGTAACAAAGGATGTTTACTTTTCAAAATTCTCAACTTTTCATTATTTATTATGGATGAGCAATTTCACTTTATTTCTCCAAGGCACATAATTCTCCAAGGCATTTATTCCTTCTCCTACTATGCCTGCCTTCCAAATAGTTTATTGCATATTACACCTTTCTCTGATCAATCAAAAGACAGTCATGCGTGATATTATGGTACATATATTTGTTGGTTTTCATCCACAGTTCCCAGCTCACAACTCCCTTTCAAAGGCAGGCTACAAAAACTAGGATTTCTCTTTCTCAGAACAGGTAATAATAGTAAATTCTCTTACCTATCTTGTCTGATAGCAGATTACAAGACCCCTTTTTCATAAGAAGTTCTGTTCCCTAATAACCCAAAAGTCAGGATTCAGAGAGTTTCTAGCCAGATGAACAGATAGAGAACCCTAGAAAGTGGCACATCCAGAGGGGGGCTGGGCGCTCCCTTCATGCACGCCCCTTTCCCCATACCACCTCACGCTATGCATCGCTTCAGCTGTATCCTTTCTGATATTCTCAATTAGTCAACTAAGTGTCTCCTTAAGCTCTGTAAATCACTAGAGCCAACTAATTGAACTTAAGGAAGAGGTAATGAGACATCTGACTTGCAGCTGGTCAGTGAGAGGCACACATAAATGTGAGGCTTGGATTTTCGTAGAATTTAAGGGGCTTGGATGGTCTTAGGGATGGAGTCCTCAGAATCTGACACTATGTCCAGGTAAGCTATATCAAAACTGAACTGAAACTGAGGACCCCTGGCTAGTGTCTGCTGCACAACTGATTGCCTGTGTGCTTCTATGATGAACTCCCTACACCTTCAGAGGTAACAAAGGTCTTCTGTATTAATGGCTGCGGTGTAAGGGAAAATACAATTGTTCTTCCTATTCTGCAAGATATAAAAACTCAATTCATAAGCTTCAGGTCAGGGACTAGTCACAGCACCACTGTGAACTTTAAGAAAATGAGGCTACAGAGTGGGGAGGTATGTGTTAAAATCAAAATCCCATTTTTCTTCACTAACCACTGGACTGTGGCTAAACAACGTATCTTAACTTCAATGTGCTTATCTGGAAGCAAATATAAATGAATAATGACAGTACCTACCCTAATGGATTGTTATGAAAATTAAGACAGGTATAATGCTTGGTATATACACCAAACAATTAAGTTTAGGTGTTACTGCTATTTGAAAGAATTGTGAGGGCCAGGGATTTGGCTCAATGGTTCCACTGCCTGCCTCATGAGCACAAGGACCTGAGTTCGATCCTCAGTACCAAAAATAAATAAATAAATAGATAGATAGATAAATAAATAAATAAATAGAATTGTGAGTGTCTTTAAGTAAAAAACCTTATCATATCACATACAGTGGTTTCCTAGGCAACAGAAGGCACTGGAATGCACTGATTACCGCTTCCATAACCCCTGTACAGGGAAGCAACAGTAACATACCAATGTATCTAAAATTCTCAAATATCCATAGACTATAAAAATATAAATGCAGATTAAAAAGTATAAGTCTGTAACCGTAAACACCAATAACATCTAGAATTGCATGGACCACACAAATTTTTCCATTAAGATTATATTCTATTTCACTTAAACCACAATATGAATGTATATGGAGTGCAGAAATTCAAAACATGCAAACTGCTTGGACTCTGAAATTGTCCCTTTCACAGGAAGTACTGATTGTAACTTAAGACTGGACATCAACATGTTAGCAATGAGTTTCCTAATGCCCAGAAAATTAAACTGAACCTTATTTGCACTGTTATGCTCAGGAATAAAGCAGTAATTTTCCAATATGCAATGAAAAATCTCTCTGTGAAGGTCCCATACTAAAAAAAAAAAAAAACAAAAACAACTTAAGTTTTATTTTACCAAGCTTCTCCCAAATATATTGATAACAAAAGCCTCCTTCTTTCACTAACACCTATTAACAAACCTCAGAACCAATCTTCTGAAGAACAGCCTGTAGGAAATGAGGCAAGTGAAGATATCCATGGACCTCCCACAACCCACTGCTTCAGACCAGCCTGTTAAAAAAGCCTCCCAACTAGCTTGCTCTCATCTAGACCATTCTCTACAATGCCACCAAAGTGTAGTTTAAAACCCTTTGAGGGCCAGGGATTCAGTTCAGTGGTGCCACTGCCTGCCTCGTAAGCACAGGGTCCCAAGTTCAATCCCTGGCAACAAATAAATAAATACATATATACATAAATTTCAAAAATAAAACCCTTCGAGCACTCTTGCCCCAGACTGCTCATCATCTACAGTGGGAGCCAGAATACTGCTTATGGGTCGATGCCAGCTCACTGGCTGTTTTTGTAAATAGAATTTCATTAGAATATGGGTTCTTTTGTTTGTGTAATGTCTATGACCACTATTGTGCCACAAAAGCAGAACTAAAGAGTTGAAATAAAGACCATATGACCTGCAGAGCCTAAAATGTTTAGTATCTGGCCCTTTACGGTATATGTCTACCAACCCCTGACCGAATGGATAAGTCTAAGCCTCTGTCTGACAAAGCCTTCATGATCTGTGTTTCCACTGCCAACTTTGCCACCCTCAAATCCTGCCTCTTTTTCTCTCACACTTTTTTTGCCCCAGAAGATGATTTATGGTTACACACATATGCACATCCCTAGATTTTTGTTTGTTTCAGTTTTTTGAGACACTATGTAGTGGAGACTGACCTGGAACTTACTATGTAGCCCAGGCTGGTCTCGAATTTACAGCAATCCTCCTGCCTCTGCCTCCCAACTGCTGGGATTACAGGCATGCACCACCATGCCCAGATCCCTAGACTATTTTTAATGCTTTTGTACTCTCAGATGGATTACTTGCTCTGCCAGAAACATCCTGATCTCCATAACCACACAACAAAGTCCTCTGCAGCTTCTAAATTGTGTAACAGATTTGATCTGCTCAGGCAGCCTTCTTGCTGTCCTCATGCCCCTTTACTGTCATCTTCTCTGTACTGTTTCTCCACCTGTCATACTTTGCACCTGTACCTGTTGTTTAGTAACATTCTCCCTTATTAGAATTTGAGTCTCTTAAATAGGTCAATCCCCTGTACTTCAAAGATAGTAAGCACTCAATGAATATTTGCTGAGTGACTACTGACTGGAAAGCTATGTGCTAATTTCCAGTCTTAAGCGGTAACAAAGGGAAGCAGTTTCTCACTATACGGAATACAACGTAGAGGCTAAAGTAGTAACTCTGCTCCATTTGGCCACCAGTCAACCAGACACTTACTCTGTGTTCTTGGGCAAAGACTCAATCACCCTAAAATCCATCACTATGAGAACAACAGCACCTACCACAATGAGGATTCTGAAAATTGATGATAGGTTACTGCTTAGCATGATGCCAGATACTGTAATATTCAGTAAGCTAAGTTCTCGTGGTGGTGACAACAGTGGTGGTAGTTCGTGCGCAGCCTCTACAGAAAAGCAAACAAACCTGAAACCACCTGAGAGAATAAGAGTGCCCCTCAAAAGGATTAGAATATACAATCAATACTCAACATTAAATATCATTCTTTACCTAAATAATTTCATGTTTGCTCTTGTGGTTGTAACTGAAAGGTTTCAATGAAATGAAAAAAAAAAAAAGATAGTATTTACTATCCACTATGTGGCAGACATTTTTCAGGAACTTCCACTCAATTTAATCTCTTCCCTTTTCATTTGTCCATACAAATGGAAACATTAGCAAGTGAGAAAAGACTCCAGAAATACACAAGCGAGGAGAAAGATCTTCCCATCATACTCTCAGGGGTTATGAGACACTTCCTCCACCTCAGAAAGTCACTCACTTAGGCTGACTGCCTACAGCTACTGATTCATCCCACAAAATAAAGATAATCTAACTCTAAATTTTAAGGCAGGTGGGGTGATGGACACCTATCATCCCAGCAGCTGAAGGCTGAGGCAGGAGGATCACTGGGAGTTCAAACCCTGCCTGGGCTACCTAATGAGTTCAAAGCCATCCTGAACTACACAGAAAAAAAAAAAAAAAAAAAAAACTCAATTGAATCAAAAAGTCCTTTAAGAGGGAGGAGATAGATCGTAAATTGTTGGAACCATTATTTCTTAAATATATAAACATAACCAAAATTACAGAATTTCAAAGTAAATTAAACAATAAGTTATGATGCTGAATTTCCTTAAGGGCACATTACACTGACCTTGTGTGCGGTGGGATCGAATAATACTCATGGAGCTAATCCAGTCTGGTGATATCTTCGATACTAAGGAGTATAATACCTCAAGGCTGGTCGCATCTACAACAAGGATTTCAGGGTAATGTCCATGGCATAAAAGCCTTCCTTCCCGCTGATTTCCAACAGAGAACTGGTAGAACTAAATTCATGTTAAAATGAAAAAGAATTTTAAATGTTCTTTAGATGTTTGATTAATATACACTCATTAAGATTACTATAATATTCTCCTAAATGCTAATCCCTTTCAGTAACATTTTCAGATAGTACTATATAGTACATATGTTTGTAGTATATATCAAGTTACATGAATGTTTTAAAATATCTAACAAAAGCTATGTTCTCCTAACATATCTTCCCTTTTAAATTATTTTAGAGCAGAATTCATGAAAATTCTTTTAGTGTTCATTTCGGCAGCACATATACTTAATTCTTTTTACCTCTACCTCTACAATCTAAAATGGAACTTTTAAGGGCTAGGGATATAGCTTAGTGGTAGAATGCTTGACTAACATGCACAAGGCCTTGGACTATGCACTTTCAGCACTATAAAAGACTTTTGAGTTAATTAATAAAATACCTGAATAAAATTAGCTTCACAAATCAAAAGGGAAGCTTGAGTGGCTCAAAAAACATGATGGGAATAGATGAGATCAGGGTTATAATTACTAGTTATTACCAAATAAAATTTAGAAGTAAAAAGTGATTAATGTTCAAACATATTATAATTAGATGGGTGTGGTAGCACACACTTGTAATCACAGGACTCAAGAAGTTGAGGCAGGACGATTGTTGGGAGTTCAATGCCAGTCTAGGCTACATAGTGAGGTCAAGGCAAGGCTGGACTACACAGATAGACCCTGTCTCAAAAAAACACCAAAAAAAATTATAATCAAAATTAAATTCGGATTAAACTGTGTTATTTCAGACAAAAGTATGAGATAACTATGTAAATATAGTGTTACACTTTATAGAAAAGAGAGGAAGAACCAACTGTGATTTCACGTGATTTCACTAATGCCAAGAACTACTCAGAAGGATAGTTTTACATCAACCAAAGAGCAGAGAAAGGACTACTATCAAACAACACAACCTATCACAAGATGTCCTTCCTTAGCCTCACAATTACTTCTTCTCTACGAGGATTTTCAGAGGGTGAAGATGTCCCTATGTTACTGAATGAATGACATAAAGGCAAGCTAGGTAAAGCACAGGAGGGTGAAGCTACAACCACTCCACAAAGGGGTAATAACTGGGAGATCCTGGTCTAGGCTGTCTCCACATTCATTAGTCCTATTCTCAGAGCTTAACACTGTGTGAGGGGACTGTAATCTTTTCTTAATTATGAAGCACCTGTACAAGGAAAAGTAAAACTTCATATATACAGTATGGATATTTATCATGGAACACATTAACATGTATAAGGTAACTCCACTAAAACTCCAGGTGTAGGAATGGGGAGGTACCTAACAAAATGAAGACTACCACAAGGGTCACTTAGAGATCTCAGAAAGATGACTGAAAAAACACAACAAAAGAAGTTCTCAGGGACTAACAGGCATTGACATATAATGATGTGGTTGTAGACAGGCTTGAGCCATGTAAGTAGAGGATGTGTCAAAATGGAAAGGAAGAGGGGGATTTAGCTCAGTGGTTCAGTAGCCTGCCTTGCAAGCGCAAGGACCCGAGGAAAACCTGCACTACAGTCACTAAAGAGCTCTCTCTCTCTCTCCTGTGCTGCACGCCTGTGTGTGCAGCCTCAGGAGGTTGAGGCAGGAGGACCATCACAAGTTCAAGGCCAGCCTGAGCTACACAGGGAGACCCTGTTTCAACCCCCGCGCCAAAAGAAAAGCCTCTATTGAGGGCAGGGATATTTTATTACAATTATCTGACTAAATACCTCCCACTTTTTGTTTTAAAGTCTTACTCCCAATCTTCTGAATACTAATTCAGTTTCTAGGATACTTTAACTTTGGCAAAGAAAGTGTTCTAATAAGTTTTTCAAACATTAAAAAGAAATGCCTCTCCCACATGGTAAATTAATAAATTGGCATTCCCTTGTGATTTCTGTAGGTACCAGTGTCAGCAAAGTCTATTACCTCTGAATATATGTAAAAAATTAAAATTAATTTTTAAAATCTCTTTTGGACCTGAGAGAATAAGGATCACACAGGAAATTGCCTGAAACTAGTGAATCTGCAAAATAGCACCTTCTATTGAGAAATAAATGACTGCCAATCTAAATACAGAAGGCATAATACAAGATCTGATTATGTTGAATACAAAAAGGTAATATTCCCTAATATGTAAGCCAAAAGTTTTTAAACCACAGAGCAAAACTGCCTAACAGTCAAAATAATTATGAGCAATGATTATAAGACATTTGTATATAATTTTAATTAAAATAAATTATAAAGTTAATTATCATTTAATTACCTTTCTCTCTACAAGCCTTGTTGTTTTGTCACATGATAAAAACATATATCTTTTAAATAAAACACACATGCTCTAAAAACTTTTGATGAAGTAATTCTTTAAAAGCCTTTGCCAGGGCAAGAGACAGTCATGAAAAACCCACATCACATACCAATTACTGCCTCTGCACAAATAATTTCCTCTGCCTTCTAATTTGTGTTAGTGCAAGTTTCCTTTCTTAATAAATTATAAGTTTGTTTTAAGGGAGGCAGTAAGATATAAGAGAAAGAGCACAGTCCCCAGTCAGACAAATCCCATGTGGGACCCTGGGGCCAGGAGTGACTCACTATGAGACTTGGGCAAGTCATTTCATTCCCTCTAGGTCTCAGCATCCTTTTTTGAACAATGCTACACTCCTATTTAATCTATAAGGGTGTAGGAAGTACTGCATGAAATGCACTACAAAAATATCCTAGGTAGTATTTACTTAATAAGTTTGAGCCCTCCTTTTCCTTTTCCATTGAGAACAGAATTCATCATACTTTCTCTATACAATTTTCCCAACAGAGTAAACAAGTACATTAAAGAAGAAAAAAGAGCAGGAATATATATCAGAAAGTACAAATTTCGGCGAAATTAAGCCAGGTATATGAAATGGTAATTTCTCCTAAACAGTTGGTAAAACTGTTGAAAACTGAGCCCAGCCAGGTGTGGTGGTTCATACCTGTAATCCCAGTGTTTGGGAGGCTAAGGCAGGAGGACTGCCATGAGTTAAGAGGCCAGCCTGGGCTGCACAGTGAGTCCAAGGCCAGCCTGAACTACACAGTGAGACCCTGTCTCAAGAAAAAGATGAAGAGAAGGAAGAGGAGGAAAAAAAATGAACAAGATAATTATATGAGCAATAAAAAAAGACAGGATCAAAAAAGCCAACTTATGTTACTAATGAAGGATGCATAACAGCCTTGGCATGAAAGAATTCATTCTTTAACATCTAGTACACTCGCTCTAGCAGTAATGGAGTTCTGTTGTAGTTTGGATCTTAGTATACATCAAAGGGCCATGTGCTAAAGAAGTAATACCTTAAGTGGCTCTACTGGAAGGCAGCAGGGCCTTCAGGTGTTGGAGGTCTAGTGAGAAGTCCTTAGGTCATCGTGAGCATGCCTTTGAGGAGTACTGTGGCACCCAGTTTCTTCCTCTTCCTTTCTTCTGTTTCCAACCTTGAAGTGAGCAGTTCTGAGGCATCACATACTCCCCGCCACTGCCATGTGGCACCTCCAGCACAGGCCCAAAGCAACTGGTTTGCCTGATCACAACTTGGAACCACTAAAGCCACGAGCCTAAGTAAAACCTTTTTCTCTTTAGAAGCTGATGATCTCAGGCACTTGTTACAGCAATTAACTGATTAACAAGAGCTCTCCTCTAAGTAACCAGAACATCCCTAAACAGCAAAAGTGACTGGTAATTGGCTCACTCTGCACTTTTCTCTACTAGTCTCTTCTATCTTATAGCCCTTCCCAACTGTATGCAGAATACTTCATATCATGCAGAATACTTTTACAACAATTCTAGTCTTCTTGCCCCATTACCCTTCCCCAGGATTTTTCACAGAAAAACACAAGCTCAATTTTTTAAAATATTTTAAAATTACATAGTCGTAATAAATCATGCTAACTTAGTCAGAAATAGATACTAACCTGTATGCCAGTATGTGTACAGGCTAACTTTGTAAATTCAATACATCTGCCATCATTCACGTCCCAGAGACACATCTCTCTGTAAAGCCAAATAATAGCTAACTTTGAATCTGATTTATAAAGCATTGTTCAACTTTGTCACAGTGGTTTAAAGTTAACCTATTAAAACTAATACATTAAATCCGGACATTGTGGCACATGCTTGTAATCCCAGAACTCAGGAAGCTAAGGAAAGAGGGTTGTTGAGAGTTCAAGGCCTGTCTGGGCTACATGGCGAGTTCAAGGCTAGTCTGAACTACATAGCAAGACCCTGCATCAAAAAAACCAAAAGAAAAAAGGACTAAAACTCCCTATTTACCATACACTGCTACTAGTTTTAAAGATATAAAAGGAAAAAAGCAAGAAAATATAACATCATATGGGAATCCATAAATTTGTAGAATCTTTTATGTCAATTAAAAATAATTTTTAAAATGTAAAAATTCAGGGGAAAGAAGAGAAACTTGACAAAAAACAATACTTACCCACTTTCAGATGCACTCACAATATACTGTTTGTCACTAGAAGCACAAGCTTTAGACAGACAAGTGATTGAAGCTGTGTGGCCAAACAGCAGTGCACGAGGATTAATCTAGAATGTAAAAACATGCCAGTGTAAGTACCAAATTAAAAAGTTAACCTTTCAATTAGTAATCTTGTTAAGTATTCAATAAAATATATAATATATATTTGAAGAAACTGCTCAGAATGCTAAAAACTAAGAGCTGCCAAAGCGTGAACTCTAATCCATGTAATGCTTACCATCACCATACCAAGTAGTTCTAGGGCAGAATGAAGCCAGTAGGAGTGACATTACTTGAACAATATTATATAGAGAAGGGCAGACCAGGATTCAAACCAAGGCAATCTTAAGCACTAGGATTATATTAGGAAATCAAGTTAAGAATATGAATTACTATGTAAAATACCACAATTTGAGCTCACTCATTTTTAAAATAACCACTGATCTGAATGCATTTTAATAGTCTCTAGTTTCACAGCCTCAAACACAGCAAACAGAAGACAGATCCCTTTCCAAATGCTGATATCAATGTCATGTGCCAAGAAGAATGACCTTCACACACCACTGATTTAGAGACATAATGTCTAGCAGAAAGGATAACAATTCTAAAACAGTCAAGCAATCAGTGCTTGACTTTGTACCAAATGGCATATTAGTTCAGGTTACTTTGGAACCTTAGGTTACTTTACAGTATTTAATACATACAAATAGTATTTGTAACCTGTATAAAATAAAGATTAAATTGAATGGCCATACACTCAAAACATAATTTAAGAAATGGAATATGGCCAATGTCTTTGAATCCCCTTCATACTTTATGGTGTCAATTTTACAAATAATTTGTCTTAATTCAATTAGAAGTGCCAAACTGTCCAAAATTAAACACTCTGTAGTAAAAACTACTGCAACTGTTCTATAATTTTGGTATGTGATTATTAAAAAAAGAATTTCAAATCAAATCCATCTTGGCCACTCTTTGCATAGTTAAAAAAAAAAAAAAAACAACTCAATCCCTGCTCATGGTGGATTAGACCTAGAAAGTTTTCTCATGCATCCCACCCCTAACTCTATTCAGAGATTCAATACTGTTCCACTGGGGGAAAAATCATTCTTGGTCAATTCTTTAATTTCCTCCACAAAATCAAATCCACCAATCTGTTTTATTTCCAAAGTATATGACTGCCACAACATTCCATTTTCAATCACAATAGAATAATCAAAGCTGGACTTTGCTTCCACTATAAAAATCTAGAAAAAATAAGGAAAAATAGATGATTCATGGTGTCTAAACACTGGACAACAGGCTGGGAATGACTGTGACATATTGAGGGCAGGGTAACACATGAAGGGAAATCTATAATCACCAGGCTTTACTCTGAAGGTCCTTAACCAATCCACCTACATAGAAGCTGGGAGAGCCTTAGACTAATGGCAAAAGTGCACTGCACTGATGAGACAGAGATCCAAGTTTAGGGAAGAGATGGCAGCTTGAATCTCCAGGTCAGAGGAACCGATAAAACGTAGCTGCACCAGAAAAAGGCATGGAAATTTGCATGAGGGTTTCCTTGGGTCTAATGCTTCATTCTAAGCCATGCGCACACAGTTACATTTTCCCAGGCCCTAACAGATAATAGCTTGGAAGCTGGAAGCTGTAAAATTCCGAGAGCTCATACAAAAGCAAGAGGAATTCAAGTGCTGACAGGGCCAGAGACCAGAGAGTTTGCATTAGAGGCATCAGAAAAAAGACTCCAGAAAGATTACACCTTAGGAGTACACAACAAAACTAGTCCTAGAATAAAGTCTCCTCTTAGATATACTCAAAAAAGTTTTAAAGTGAGTTTCAGTATTTTGTTTGTTTGGGTGTTTTGTTTTGTTTTGTTTTCCCCACTATGTAGCCTAGGCTGGCCTCACAGCAACTTTCCTACGTCAGTTTTCTGAGCACTGGCATTATGACATGTAAGCCAACACACACCCAGCTTAAACTGGCACTTTGAAAAGACTGATAAAATTGATAAACTCTAGTTAAAATTGTACAGAAAAGAGGGAAGATATAAATTACCAATATCAAAAAAGGAGACATCTCTATAAATTTACAGATATTAAAATAATAGGGGAACCTTATGGGGTTGAGGATTTAGCTCAGTGGCACCACACCTACCTTGCAAGCGCAAGGTCCTGAGTTCAATCCCCAGTACAAAAAAAAAGGGGGGGAAATATTACAGACACTGTATGCCAGTAAATTCTGACAACTAAGATCAGGATCTGCAAACCCATTCTTTAAGTCTTTCAGGCCATATATAGTCTCTACTACATATTTGTCTATGCCGTTGTTTCCTTTCAGTCTATGAAAATGTAATTACCATCTTTAACATAAGGACTGCACCAAAATAGTTCGTGATTCTCCACACCAGAAAAGCAACAACCAAAAAAACCAAAGCAAAACAAAACAAAGGTAAGAAAAATCTGAATAGCCCTCTATATTTTATATGAAATTGAATGTGTAATTTAAAATTTTTCCCTTGGAAGATGGCAGAGTGATGAGAGACAGCCTTTGTGAGATTTGATGTCCAGAGGTTGAAATACAGCAACATAAACAACAGAAGAAGGAGTGAAGTGGGTCCCTGGGACCCAGCAAGGAAGTGAAGTGACAAGTGAAGCACACAGGGAAAATAAAGAGAGAGACCTCAACACAAATGTGTAAATACTGAATAGCTTCTCTGGTATGAAAACTAAAAGTGTAAATATGGTTCAAATTGTGTAACTGATAATGTGAAATAGGAAGAAAGGATTTAAAGGAGTAGGGGAAGTGGGAAGAGTAGGGGAAAGGAAAGCAGACAAAAAAAATATGAGAAATGGAAACAAAGTATTTGTAAATAGTGGAAGGGTGCAGTGGGTGAAGGGAAGGCAGGGGTATAGGGAAAAAATAAGATCCATGATACACAATATAAAGATACAAGATCCCAATGATGAATGTGACTGTACTGGATACCTAAAAAGTACCAATATACTTAATGAAAAAAAAAAGAAAATACATAAGAATTCATAATTTTGAAATACAAAATAAAAACAAAAAACCCCAAACCCCCCTTCTGGTTAAAACTGGCAATATGTTGAAAGAGGGATAGAAGTGAAAAGGTCAGACACATTTTATTAATAAATCCATTTGATTTTTCTTTTTGAGAGAGAGAGAGAGAGACCTCAATGCAGAAGGAGGAGGTGGCAAGCGGTGCTTTCTCCCTGAGCCATGACTCACTGTGTAGGAGGAGCAGCTTGAACATGCAGAGGCATAGTGGCAGCCAAGAGAAGCCCATGGGGAAACACACAAGTGGAACGGAGAAGTGGATGCAGTGGCTAGTGAGCTATCTGGGTTCAGATGCCATCCAAGAGAGCAATTGGTCAAGGCCCAGTACAGGCCAGAAAGGAGCCCAGTTAAGCTGGAAGCAGATACAGGGACTGTTTCAGGCTGAACAAATCAGGTTCTAGGCTCACAGCCAGAAACCAATCTGAACTTCAGTGGAACTAAAGATATGGGTTTGCTGGAATTCTCCACTACTCCATCATAAATCTACAGCTGGCTTACTGGGATTAAACAACATGGATCTGGGCTGCGTCTGCCCACTCAGTCTATGTGGCAGCAGAGACACTCCGAGAAGTGGACATTTTTTTTCTTTTTCTTTTTTCTCTTTTCCTGCTGTTCATCTTTATCTGGTTTGTTTTCTTTTCTTGCTTGTTTGTTCTTGTTTTTACATGAATGTAAACATTGTTTCTATTTTTTTTTTCCACTAACCCTTTTAAAATTATCTCCTCTGAGGGTAAAATTGCCATATTGAGGGCATATGTATTATATACAAATTTCTGGTTCATTTTAGATTTTATTATATAACTACAAATATAGTTCATACAGTTAAAGGTGGTAAATTAAAAGTTACCACAATTTTTCATTTTCTCAGCTGTGTTTGATTTTACTGTTAATGTTGATTGTACTACTTTAGCGAGGTGACATAATTCTTCTAATCAATTGCTCTTCCTGGTATGCCAAGACTGCAACTGCCAAAGGCTCAGGAGCAATACTGTAAGTCAGTGTTAAAGACACAGGAGTTAGGCCAAATAGGCAGTAGGGCCAGGGATTTAGCTCAGTGGTGCCATGCCTATCTTGCAAGTGAAAGGTCCTGAGTTTGAACCCCAATACCACCAAAAAAAAAAAGGCTGTAACTTCTCATCCTCAATACACTGAAATAGAATCTTGCAACAGACTCAAAACCCAAACACTAGCTACACCTAAAGGATGTCGCTGAGAAGTGGTCATTTTCTAAGCGTTACACATGTATGTCCAATTTATTTCACTTAAGAGTATGGTTTCAAGGTGCATCCATTTACTTAGAAATGTCCCAAGTTTATCCATCTTTATGGGTGACTAGTACTCCAATATATTTTTAAAAACATATCTTTTTTACATTCATCAGTTAGTGGGCATTTGGGCTATTTCCAAGATTTAACTATTACAAAATGTGCTGCTATCAACATGAGTATGCATATACTGCTGTGATATAATGCTTTTTTCCATTAAGTTTATTGGTATATTTTAGGTATATAATACAGTTACTTTCATCATTAGGATCTTATACCTTTACATGATGTATCTTGGTTCTTATTTTTTCGCCCTTACCCTACCCTTTTAATTATTTTGGGAAGATACCCAGAAGAGAAATAGCTGGGTGAAACTGGACCTCTACTCTTTGTTTTGTGAGGAATCTCCACACTGATTTCCACAGTGGTTGCACCAGTCTACACTCCCACCAACAGTGGAAAAAATTTCCTTTTTTCCCACATCCCCTCCAGCAGTTGTTGTTCATTGATTTCTTGATATTAACATTCTTTCCACAGTGAAATGGTATGTCAATGTTTTTTTTGTTTTTTGTTTTTGTTTTTTTTTTTTTTTTTTTTTTTTGGTACTGGGGATTGAACTCGGGTCCTCGTGCTTGCAAGGCAGACCACTGAACCACTGACCTAAATTCCCAGCCCTTATGTTGTTTCAATGTGCATCTCTCGAATGGACAGTGATGTTGAGC